AAAAAAAAAAAACGAACAAAAACAAAAACAAATTACAAGATTCGTCCGTACAACGTAGATCACAATCTCCCACAAGCTGATGGAGCCATAGCACACACACAAAAAAAATACATACGGCTCATATATATCTATCTATATATATATATAGATAGATAGATAGATAGATAAACAAAAACAAGCGTCTAGTAAGCCGTGTTTACGGAAGAAATGCACCTTGATATCAGTGCAGCCGTGAACGTGCTTTTGACCAGACAAGACACCCTCAAAGTGTTCCTAAAAAGGTACACCAGTAAACTAGTTGTTGCACAACACACGATCTTTTCTCTCACCTACTCTTCGTAATTCATTCATATATACGGAATTGACATCTCGAATCGTATTGTGGTCCCATTCGGGCCGCTCAGAAGACACCTTTGACGAAAAAGAGATCCAGAAGCGGGTTCTTCACTGCGTGAGAGCAGGTCGGGTCCGCCACAGTCGCCTCTGACGAGAAATACTCGTAACGATCCGGGTAGTCTGTCAACGACTTCCTCATCCTGATACCAAGCTTCGACGCAAGCTTTGAGAGGCACATTGGCGGTGGCAGATCGTGAATGACCTTCTCACTTTGGAGCTTCTCGTGGGCCGCATCTACTTCTTCAGGCAGATGAAGTTCCTGCTTCTGCACCAGCTCCCTCGCGTACACGTCCGCCAGTCCGTTAGGGTGTTTCTCCACGTCACCCTCCTGCCCAGCTGTCAACACACTCGCCTCCGCAATTTCAGTGGGTGGGGCATCGGCATTTCCAGCCTTCTTCTGATAATGACGCGTCAGCGGAGCCATATGCTTCAGGGCGAACAAGACACGGTTCACCTGCGCGGCGGGGACGTTGGTCTCGTTCGCGTCGGCGAATCGCTCCAATGTCGGCACAAACAGGATGTCTGGGTACGCCTCTGTAGTCGAAAGAAACGCCATGAAGCACCGGCACTTGGGGTTGCCGGGTTCCTTCACTGAGTCGCCAACATCTGTTGTGGCGTAGTGGAATGTCTTGATTGCGGTGGTGGGAATGCCGGCCAATGCCTGACCGTTCTCGTGAAACACCATCACTGATTTGTCGAAGAGTACAAGGTACATGCGATCCTTCGAGAGCTTCAGTGAGCCAGCTGGTGATGCTTTGTCGTGTTTTACCGCCACGTGGCCATGCACACAGGCGTACATCACGGACTGCTTCATGGCACGGAAGGTGAGCCACAGGTAGAGCGGCGGCTCCGCGAGCGGCACCTGAATGCGCGGGTCCATCTTCGGCAGTCCCCAGAACTGCGGTGGTCGCATCCCCTCGCGGATCAGCACGTCACGGATGGTGGTGTAAATCGTCATGAAGTCTGTCTCGTTCTTCGCGCGCATGTACCACACAAGCATATCGCCGGTGCCCTCATCGTCTTGAGGTTTCGGGGGCCCAGGAGTAAGTGGGGTGACAGGACTCACAGAGGCACGCTTATCCCGTGGAACTTCAAACTGTGTCCGCTTATGGCTGATCGGCCGGTAGCTGCCCTCCACCTTGAACGCGAAGAGGTTACGCGGGTCAAAGTTCGATGCGGTGTAGTCGATCTTAGTCACACTGGCCTTTGCAATGATGCGCACCACCTTCACCTTGTGCTTCCACATATGGTGGTGGCCTTCCTTCTGGGCGCTGCAGTACAGGTGGCCTGCCGCTATGTCAAAGGCAATGCGGCGCTCGGTCCACCCAGAGCTGTACTTTCCATGCTTCTCAACACAACCGTAGAGCATCACTGTATGGGACTTCTGGCTAATGTATTGTCTGCGGGCTTATATATATATATATATACTCAGATATATATATATATATATTGCTAGACCTATCCACGTCAAACAAACCAAAACAAAAAAGAACAGTCCTCTCCATTTGCACACACACGCATCAGTCGGCCCACCCGAGTTACACATATCCACGAGCACATACATTCCAGGCTTTCTATGTATCACACCTCCATGTCGGCGTGTGGACGATCCATCGTGTGGAGTGCGTCCCGGGCGCCGTAGTTAATTACTCCAAAGGAGAAGGGAACCAAAAAAAAAAAAAATAAAATAATAAAAAAGAAAGTGAATGATAGTTATTGTTTCAAAAACCCAATACCTACTTTTTTTGCGCCGCTTGTAGATGACGTATGTAGCGGCCAACTACATCGTGCTCCACCTCAGCACGGCGGCGTAGTCGGTCTTTCCCACCCAAATCGCTTTCCCCACGAAACGCGGACTTCGCGTAAACTTTCTTTTCAACCAAAAGACTCGCTTCCTCCATTTCCGCAGCACCCACCGATTCTTCATCACAGGAGCACGAAGTACACACTCCCAGATACAGCAGGTGATCATTCGCAGATATGAGAATGATGCTGTTGCTGCACTCCGGGTCCTCGCTGACGTCTTTAGAAGAGCAGTTTTTGCCACTCTCATCCTTGCAGCTTCGGTAGCTCGCGTTACCGTCATTGTCATACCACACTTCATGTGATACATGCTTGAAACCGGACAGCATCGAAGGAACGTGAGAAACAACATCACGGTTGTGTGTGACGCGGTACGACTCGTGACCGCCGTTGCAGAACACTGCGGTGACCCAGTCAGCAAACTCCTCGTTCCCCACGCGCGGTGCCCCGAACGTGTACAGCTGGATGCGGGGCACCGCGCCGACCGAGGACGACTGCGACGCAAGATCCGCGGCGGCAAGGAGCGCCATGGCGCCGCCGAGGCTGTGCCCAGTCACGAGGAGCGGCAGATGCGGGTTCGCGGTGAGGAGCCCCCGCAGGTGCTGCCACATCGGGTCCCTCAACGATTCAAACGAGCGGAGGAACCCACGATGAACGCTGCAGTCATCACACTTGGTGTTGGGGTACGCCGTTTGGGTGAAGTCCACGTTAGCAAGCCAATTGGGTACATTCTGTGAGCCACGGAAGCTCACCACAATGCGGTCTTTGCTGACACCAATGTACGCCTGCGTGCCTTCCGTAGCGTTCTCGAACACGTNCGCAGGTGCTGCCACATCGGGTCCCTCAACGATTCAAACGAGCGGAGGAACCCATGATGAACGCTGCAGCCATCACACTTGGAGTTGGGGTACGCCGTTTGGGTGAATTCAAGGTTAGCAAGCCAATTCGGTATATTCTGTGAGCCACGGAAGCTCACCACAATGCGGTCTTTGCTGACACCAATGTACGCCTGCGTGCCTTCCGTAGCGTTCTCGAACACGTGCGTCACTTTGAACGACGGGTCCGCTGTGCACGAGGCGCAGCTCCAGTTGGTGAGCGGTGCAACGTCGCAGTACGACGCCTTCGAGAAGTACAGCGCCGACGTAGCCAAAGCCTCCGTGTAGGCGGCGTGGGCACACCACCCGCAGAGCGAGAGGAGGAGCACCAAGAGAAGCGGGCCGCGCAGGGAGCGGGACGACATGCTGCTGCTGCTGCTCATGATGATGATCGTAGAATGCCACGACAGTGACTGGGCAGCTGAGACAAAGAGTGGCTAGAGTAGGAGAGAGAGAGAGAGAGAGAGAGAGAGAAGACGGGCGGAGTAAGAGAACCACGAAACACACAACGGCAGCAGCCTAACCCCAAAGGGTTGTTCTTCAGATGATGTCATCTTACGCTGATGTATTTCCCAAAAAAAGATATGAAGACAAAAGCCCATGGAAAGTAAAGGTACGCCTGGGCCTTCTTCGATTGTGACTGTCGGGAAGCACCAGACAGATATCACAGCCAAGGAGCAGCACGTAAAGCAATGTTAAATGGTTGCACTTTGTCCGTTGTCTTGCAGACCATGTTTCACCGGGAGGAGAGCTCATGATGCGCCCAACGCCTCCGCAGACACCTAAAAGAAGTTGTGTGGCACGCCTTCTACAGAGCATGCGTTGGGGGCTGATGGAGCTGCAGCTAAGACGAGCAAGAGTATTATTTGTCGTGGCAGTGACGCGAGGGCCCAGGCCTATTTTACTCTAGCCCAACAGAGGCCCAGACGGTCGCTCGTTGCCACCCAAAAGAAAGAAAAGCAAAAAAAAAAGTGTTTAAGGTAGGAAGAAAGTGTTTAAGGTAGGAAGAAAGTGTTTGCTACACTGTGTTCCAGGACCCCAAGCGAATTACCGTATGAGAGATGCAGTGCAGTGTGGCTCTCCTCCTTGGCATTTTCTCCCTGGCGTCCCCTGCACGGCTTTGTGAGCAATAAATTATGGTTGGGGTATCGGCGGGGCGGTCAGGGGCTTGGCAGCGTGCACACGGTGGCCCGCATGTGTAGGCGTAGGCGTCGCCAGCCGTGCGTGCTTCGCGAACAATCAGCTGGCGCCACCATCGAAGCACACAGACACACACACACACACATGACAGCTCCACAGCGGGCGAACACTGCCGTTGCAGATACCATGAAGAGGGGGGAGGACGGCGAATAAGGAAGCGGAGCTGCTGACTAACCTCTCGTATTCGCCGCGACCGAGTGCAAGCATATCCAGCAGCAGGACCATCTGTTATCCATCGGTAGTGCACCCGTTCGCTGACAGCTCGCACCGTCACGCCCTGGATGCCTCCCGACGGAGTCTCTCCTCCTCCTTCTTCACATTTTCGGAGACGACCAAGTCCGTGCACACGTCCCTGCGTCGTGGGCACCAAACAGTGCCAGCCGAAAACGGGTACATCAGCTCGACAAACGAGCCCTCGGGGCAGGGGTACCACGACTTGGCATTAACAAATCGGACAAGCACGCCTTTTGAAGTGCACGCCACCTCCGCGCAGATGTCACCAATGGCTTTGCCCTCCATTTGGAGCCCTGTGGTCTTCATGCACATTGACTTGGGCCCAACACGGCTCCCAGGCATTGCGGCGGGGTCCCCAGTGACGCAGTTAGTGTTTGAGCGGGGCTCATAAAAAGGACAGAAATCCGCCAGATTACCCTGCGGCCCCCCGATTGTAGCGTTCCTGAAGTACCGGTAACTTAGAGGAAGCGGCTTATCGTATTGTATTATCGGGCAGTACCCCAGCGCGCGGCGGTCAGAAGTGCACACCGGGAGAACGTTCTCCTTGTTGCAGAACATGTCCGGGTACTGCGTTTGGGCTCCGTATAGGCACCTCCTCTTCAGCAGCCAACACCCAGCCTCGTAGCCCCAGCTCATCGGCTCCGCCATCGCCCAATTGGCGCGAAAGAAGCCCATATCCTCAAAAGCAGCAAGCGTCAGTGCTGTGTAGAAACCAGCGCCAACAATGGGACTCATCAGCTCGTCCTTCGCGTTGCGTCGTTCCCAGTGCGACGGAGCAAGCGCATCGCTGCCTTCGTCTTCCAACTCCATGCCACGGATGAGGTCACAGTCGTAGTGCTTCCGTGCCTCCCTGCGTGTTGCGTTGGAAGAAACCATGTACACATAGTCCTTCTTCTGACGAACGCCTAACACTTTGGACACCATCTTCATGCGCCGCATAGTCAGGTGATGAAATCCGAGAGCATGCGCAATCTCGTGTGCAATTGAACGGATCATTTCTCTTGTGTCCGTGATAGTGTGCGGGGCAAAGTTCAGCACACCAACAACCGGGCGCCCGTTGGGGAGAACAAGGCATGGAGCGGCCCACGAGTGCTTTATTTGCCGTGAGGGCCCAGCGGCAACGTACAACACCATGTCGGCCTTAGGGACGCCCTTTGTACGGTGTACAGGGTTAACGGAGAAGTGCCTGCAGTGCCGATCGGTGAACTTCGGAACCACCACGTTGGTGTTGAGAGGATTGACACGGAGGCGATCCATGTGCAACTTCACCGCATGCGGAAGCAGGACAGTCAAGATAGTGTTCCTCTTGGCCTCCGTGAGAATTTCCGGTGCCCTGCACTTGTAAAGCGATCCCATGAAGTCCGGACGTGGATCTCCCTCCTTAGTGCAGTACCTGGAGTTGTAATTGATGTCATCCGCGAAAGCAGTAAACCGGATCGGTTTCCACTCGGGCGAGGCTGCGGTGTAAGTCTGCGACGTGGTCTGTCCGCCCTTGGGCAACTCCTGCACCACCGCAATGGGAAGGTCCCCTTGCTTCGCCGCAATCTTGGGAAACGCGCACCGGTGCTCGGCGAGAACGGGGCAGACACCACCGTACCAGACACACAGCAGCACACAGAGCACGGCACCGCGCACCGAAGTGGACATCTTGCTTTGTACACGCATGTGGTGTCACCTCACTAGGGGGCGTGCAGGGCAATGAGAAACAAATGAGTGCCGGCAAAGTG